AAGTGAAAATGGGCGTTCCGGTTACACCACATGGGTTATGTCTGGCCCTGTTTAACAGTTCTTATTTACAAACTAATGAATGCAATTAACACACTGATTAATGCGCTAACTTAGAATGAGGCAGCTCAGTGCACATACATCAGAGGAGGCCTATGCTTAACTTTCACCGTGTGGAAATTGTGACTGGGGAGGCTATGAGTAATGAGGTGATTTGTCCAATTTTTGGAGATTAAGGAAGGAATGAGACTTTATTTGTGGTGATGAGCTTCAAAATTCAAATGGGAGATAGCGCTTCACAAAGGTGAACCAGCTAGAGAACACAGGGCTGACTTTGGAGCTCACAGAAAGGGAGTAAGACCAAGCTGGCACCTCAAAAGTGCGGAATACGGAAGTAGGCCTGCTGAGAGGGAACAGAAGGGGAGTGGAATACGGAAGTAGGCCTGCTGAGAAGGAACAGAAGGGGAGCGGAATACGGAAGTAGGCCTGCTGAGAGGGAACAGAAGGGGAGCGGAATACGGAAGTAGGCCTGCTGAGAGGGAACAGAAGGGGAGCGGAATACGGAAGTAGGCCTCCTGACAGGGAACAGAAGGGGAGCAGAATACAGAAGTAGGCCTGCTAAGAGTGTCACCTGAATTTACCCCCCAGAGATCCAAGCTTTCTACCGTCCTTACAGTGTTATTCAGTTGCAAATATTATACTGTTTACAGCATATGGTGAATCAATTATTTACATTTCACTCTCACGTATCCCCAATCTACAAGCCACCTGTTGATTAGGATCGCAGGACAGCCGTATTGAAGTTGTTTATCCTGAAATCGAAATGAAAGGAATCCAGATTGAATAAATGAATAAATCCTTATTTATTCAAAGGGGCATCACTTGGACAAAGGCTTTTAACAATGGTAAATGGAAACCATTAATCAACATCAGCAAATCAAAGAGGAAAACTAGCCGAACAAACAACAAGCAGCATTATGCTCCCTTCTAGGATCAGTGGTTTATCTGATTATCACCAGTTGCACACTTAACCAGGGCCTGAACAAACACAGCAGGATGCTGTCCGGGTTTATATTAGGGAACAGAGCTTCACACGTATCCAGATCCATTCGTACATCTGAGCAAACTCTTGATCGCTTGGTGGTTTCTTTCAGAGGACGTGGGCTACTGTTGCCACCATCTGGTGGATGGATGAAAAGTCTTCACATCCACACTGAAATTTCAAGACATCTGATTGGTTGGTCCCACCTCCTCTACAATCTGATTGGTTATCTCTCTGAACTAATCATTTTTCATTCTGCCCTCAGAACATTTTTCTATAGGTTAAACTCCCACGAGCGGCAAATTCAGGCACCCCCTTTCACGTAATGAGAATGTCCACCCATTTATCAATTTAAGTTTTAAATCCTGCTCCATCAGAAGGACCCAAACCAGTACAGGGAGGCATAAAGCAAGGTAGATCTTCAAAAGGATGCCCGTGCATTGGAGGGGTCTGACGTGCAAACAACCACAAACAGAATGACACACTGAGCTTTTTGTGTAAATCAGATTTCCAGACCGTGGGAGAGTACCGGAATACCAGTGTAAACACTGGCAAAATCTTTGACCAGACAACATCACTGACTTAGCGCCCGTCCTCCTAGTGAAAGTGTTGATTGTAGCTTTCCGCAAAAAGTCATGGTTTAACCTACTGATCCAAGGAGAGGATTGGCTGGATTGAGGCACCGCTTTCCTGTGTGACTGCAGGTCACAGATAAACGGAGACAGCAGGTCGCAATCACACTCGCTGACACATCAACGCCATCCGCCGGGGTCACTCTGCCAAACGCTCCCCTGGACAGTGAGCGAGTCCCTGCGCTCCTCTATGTTTATCCAAGCCGTCGGCTTCAACCTTTTTCTTGGCAGAAGTCACCTCCCTCCCTTATCAGACCGCACCTGATACGGGGGGGGGGGGGGAACACACCGGCGCTGCAAACAGGTTGCGAAAGCTGCCCCTCTCCACTGATTGAGACGCACGGTGGCCATCTGTGTATGAATGTGATGCCTGGAATAGTTCATATTCAACGTGACGGCTTTATTTATTCTCATCGATTGAATATCTTTAGTTATCCAGAGTGGGGAAGAATTTATATCCTTATATCTGGGGATGGGACTTAAGCCTAAATAAGGGAAGAGCATAAATGGATGGATGGATGGATGGATGGATGGAAAGCCTGCACATCCATACTGAAAATTCAAACTTTTGCTGCAATGAACACAAACCACAGCAGACATTTTTATCTTTAATAACAAAGATGACTTGGGAAGAATATTAAACATAAAAACCTCCAGTTCCTCACTTATATGAAATACGCACGGCCTATACAATGGGAGTTATAGCTGTGCTCTGATTGAAGCGCTTAAACTGAAAATCACTTAAAAAGGTCATTTTCCTCACCTAGCAGATGCTGAAGTGGTTCTGATTAGCCGTAAATAAAGTCAGCTGTTCCTGCTGGATTATCCTGAAGGATTCTTGGACGAATGGTGCTGGGATAATCAGAGTCTGGGATAGAGATGCTGCAAAATCGTTGGGATCTTATTGTTGAAAGGTAGAAATCCGGAGAGGGGTGTGAATGAAGACGTTCAGTATATGCTGAAATAGCTTTAGAATGAAGACGTTCAGTATATGCTGAAATAGCTTTAGAATGAAGACGTTCAGTGTATGCTGAAATAGCTTTAGAATGAAGACGTTCAGTATATGCTGAAATAGCTTTAGAATGAAGACGTTCAGTGTATGCTGAAATAGCTTTAGAATGAAGACGTTCAGTATATGCTGAAATAGCTTTAGAATGAAGACGTTCAGTGTATGCTGAAATAGCTTTAGAATGAAGACGTTCAGTATATTCTGAAATAGCTTTAGAATGAAGACGTTCAGTATTCAGAGATGCCTACCTGCGTGTCTTTGGACTGTGGGAGGAAGCTCACACGACATGGACAGAACATGCAAACTACACGCGTTGTGTAGGTTTTATCCCACAAAACAAAGACCTGTGACCTCCCTTGGTTGCTGATCTATTATCACCTCGCTATCGATTTCCGGCACATCGCCACTGATTAACATGAGCATGATGGTCGCCTTAACAAGCAAATAAGATTAACTACAACATCAGCTGTCAGCTGCACAAAAGAATTTGCACCTCAGCCGGAAGTCAGGCTTTGCTTTCCACATGATATCCCAGCATGCAGCAGGTGAAGCCAGTAGTGAATTTCCCACGTTATACTTGGATCATTAAGCACTTTTGTGCCCTTCCTCCATTAAGAAAGTACCACTGTGATATTAAACCTCTGTGTGTCAAGCATGCTTTACCATACGGGACTGGTAGAGGGTCACCTTGACTCAAAAATCATCAAATACAGTTCAATACAGGGAAAGACAAGTATTACATAAGATATCGAACACAAATGTCACCGAAACCAACCATCACTGTGCCAGATAAGTACTATGTCATGTTAGATCAGTATCTAATCATTCAATAGTCCGGCACTGTATCCAATGGTAAAACTAAGCATTTTTCCAACAGCTAAAAGGCGCATCCATTGCATAAGGTAATTTGCGCAACAAGTAGAACTTAATGTTATTCAAATCAAATGTTCGGCAGCTAAGTGATTGATTGTGTGCTGGTTGCGTTTCTATGGGGGCGAAGTGGGTGGGAGCCCATTGTGAAGGAGCCCATCCAGCTGAGACCAGGCCGCATTGTACCGCAACATCAAATATTTGCCAGAGGCTTGATATAATCCATCAGTCACAATCTGGCTTCAGTTGTCATCACCTGCTGGTGTTATATTTTGTGAGATTAATTTGGCCGCTGTGAAGCGTGAGCCAGTGTGAAGCACAGGAGTCAACAGGTGCTAAGAGCTCAGCTTCCGGCTCTCTGCACGTGTCACGTCCATCCACACCCTCTCTACTCTCTAACTGTGTTGTTTCAACAAGTTGCGGAACCGGGAACAATTTACGAGACCCTCGGAGAGATTTACGAGACCCTCGGAGAGATTTACGAGACCCTCGGAGAGATTTACGAGACCCCCGGAGAGATTTCTGCGCTTGACGGTGTCAAGTCTATCGGTTATCCAGTTACCTGTAAGTTTCAGGGCAGAATATCATCTTCAACCTAAAGTAACAGCAAGCTGTGAAATATCGGAAAATGCAGGAGGTAGATATAGAATGAATATTACTACCTCTCTGAAGGTTTCAGGCGAGGTCAACTAGCAGCATGTAGAAAGCATAAAAAAGGTGGTCATTGAAGTCAATGTTCAATATACAGCCATCTGTTCATCCGGTACAGCAGTACCTCCGAACCCGGTCCGCGGGGACCCACAGACGGTCCAGGTTTTTGCTCTCTCCGTGCTTCCTGCCAGCTCCAAAGTCAGCCCTGTGTTCCCTATCTGGTTCTCTTGTACACGCAGAGGACCGGCTGTGGGTCCCCGCGGACCGGACTGGTAAACGCTGCAGTATAGGGTCACAGAGAAACTGGAGTCTGTACCACCAAGCACAGCTGCCTTGGATTTTTTTTCTAATGTTAACATGTGATTAGCGATCATTCAAAGGTACATTCATCATCTTGTGTTTCAGTCTCTCAGTGACGTGCTGCCCACCTTCATCTTACCTTTCCACGTTTCGCAAGCACGGTCCTGATAACAGCCATTGGCTCCATTATGAGGGTGACCTTGAGTCTTACTTAAATGGTCGTCATTATCTTCATATTTCTAACAAAGAGAAATGTTGTTTAAACTCAAACAGCACATGACTTTTAACGAAAGCTTGACTTTTGGACTGCATTTGACAAAGGGGGGGGGGGTATATTGCACAAGACAAATGAAGGAATGATTATGTCATATATTGGCTGGTTAGTGTGTGTGTACATATATATGTAAGGAATAATTCACGAAGGGCCGTTGAATTATTAGAAAAATAATGCACACCCGAGGTGGTGATGCGGCCACGACGCGAAGCGCAGTGATATGGAACTGTAATGCGGTCAAGAGAGCTGCCTAGAACTACGTTCACCGTGCGTTTCCCTGAAAATAATTGCACACCTCAGAACGTTCGGCAGCCAATCAGATTCAAGCATTCAACGGTCCCATAGTATAAATATATGCTCATCTAGCAGAGGTAGTAACTGGACAGAGCTGGACTTTAGCAGCATTTAAATATTTACTGCGTAACAAGATGAAGGTTCTCCTTACGATCTCAATCTCCCTTTTCCTGGCTCTGAATGTCTTGGCTAAAGAACCTTGTCGTAAGACTAATTTTTATATTTATCTCTGCTTAATAACATGGATTATTGGTGCATTTAGGCTTGAAGTAACTGTTCCATGAAATAGATTAGAGAAGTTATTTGTAAGTCTGGTTCTGGTAGACTGGAATGGGTAACTTTGCTCCAATTAAACCGATCATGGAGAGAGCAGGTTGTATTAAAGAATAATTCAAACCAGGACTGAAGTCTTCAGGTAGACTCACCAGGCCACGAGGACCGGAAACCAGTTAAGATTGTGTCACAAGGTTGAATTCAGTCATCGTTTTTAGGAACTGTAACCTAAAAAAAATAGCTTATCTGTATTCTAAAGTAATATCTTGTGTGTATTTTATTTAATGTGTTCCCTGTGGCTGCTGCATGAGAAGAGTCCATTGGATTCTGTTCCTGAGTTGGTGCTGATACAGTGCTGGGCAGATAAAATTTCTAGGGATGCAGATTTTGAGTTTTAGACCCTTAAGTTACTGAGCATTTTAGCTCTGAAGTCACTTTACTTGTTGCCCCAGTAATGTATTTCTGGAGACAGTTAAATGCTTAGATTAGCCTAAACCCAGCCTAGCCCTCTTCATGCTAACCCCAGCTGCTAAACCACCCTTTTCCCCAGAACCTCCGCCTCTCCTTCAAGGGACATTTTCTGCTGTGAGTATCTGTTCTTCATCCTAATCATAATTTCCATACTGGGTTTCGGTGAGTTTAGCTGCCCGTGTTAGAACCTGCTTCTTTTCCTATTGTTCAGTTACTTGAAGAAAAGCTTCTATGTGAGAAGCACCTCCACTGCTTACCTTGTTTTTACTTTTCCAGGTCATCAGCCAGGAAAACATGAACATCCTTGGATCATTCTCCAGTGATCTACCCGGCCGACGGTTCTACTTGAGGGAGGGGGTTTATGGAAACGGCTTCACCGTGTTTGAGGATGTTCTGATGCTCTTCTCTGAGGTTTGACTTCCACACATAGCTGCACAGTAACGTTCATGAACACAGACACAGGCGAACGGTCCAAGGTGCTGCTAGAGGAACCAGCCCACGGCAATGAACCCGTCTCTCTCCTCAGAAAGTCATGTATATGATCTCATATGCCAACTCCACCTGCGTCTCCCTGCCGCTCGAAGTGGACCTGCACCCTATGGAGCTCCCGCCCGAGGCCCAGTATGTGAATCAGGCGTACATCGGATCTTCTCTCCCTGGGGAAGGAGTGCTGGTGGACGTCTGGACTGGAACCCACCCGATGATCAAAGGTGGACCTGCTCTCTTTTCATCTTCTGTTACTGCTCAGGGTGCTGGCACCTGTGTCTGTGTCTGTCTGTGTCCGTGTGTGTCTGTGTATGTGTATGTGTCTGTGTATGTGTCTGTGTCTGTGTCTGTGTGTGTGTGTGTCTGTGTATGTGTATGTGTCTGTGTATGTGTCTGTGTCTGTGTCTGTGTGTGTCTGTGTATGTGTCTGTCTGTGTGTGTCTGTGTCTGTGTCTGTCTGTGTGTCTGTGTCTGTCTGTATGTCTGTGTCTGTGTCTGTGACTGTGTCTGTGTGTGTCTGTCTGTGTCTGTGTCTGTCTGTGTCTGTGTTGGTCTGCGTCTGTGTGTGTCACAGAAAGTAAGAATGGGGGGGGGGGGGGGGGGAAAAAAAAAATTCCCCCCGGGCCCAAACGAAACCTCTTTTTTTTTTTTTTTTTTTTTTTTTTTTTTTT